ATTTTTTCTATATATATATATGTATTAGTTGGCCAATTTATTTTCTATTTTTATAGTAGAGACCGGGTCTCGCTCTTGCTCAGGCTGGTTTCAAACTCCTGACCTCGAGCAATCCGCCCGCCTCAGCCTCCCAGAGAGCTAGGATTATAGGCATGAGCCACCGTGCCTGGCCTCAAGTCATTTTGATTTGACATGGGTATCACACAGAAATGCTGCATTCCTATAGAAATCTTCTTCAATAATTCACATGATGATTCTGTTCTTCATAAAATTTAACTATCTGTTCTCATAGAGATAAAATTTTGGCTAAAACCTGCCCCTGCAATAGCCAACACACTTCAGAATGACAGGGCAAATCTGGAAACTGACAAAGCTGTGTTGCATTTGCAGGAATATATTTAACAATACTTATAACTTGTTGCAAAGTGTCCCTTAAAATAGTAGCTTTAGCAGAGAGATTTTGCTGACACAAGATACAATGAAAAGAAATAAAGAGCATCCAGATCTGTTAATATTTCTTTTAATCTATGTAATAAACCCTTCAGGAAGGTGCACTGTCTGTACACACACTTATGAAATTTGCCCAAATCAGTCCAACCTCATAACATTTATCTTGAAAGTTGTTGAAGATATCTATCCCCCCCACCCCGTGTTCTATTTGCAAGAGTGCATTCTTTGTAGCAAAGAAAATCTTCTGTTATGACCTGAATGAAGTATAAAACCTGAGCTGAGTCAGTAATATCAGTAGATTCATCCAAAGCCATTGAATAATATATATTTTCCTTTTGAACTATTGCAGAAAGTTGTTCTGTTAAGTTGAAGGCTAATTCATGCTGCTGATCAGTTATGGTTCTCCATGGAAGAGGCAATTGTTTATACTTTGAAACGTTATCTGGGTCTAACCATTCTACAACTTCAACAATGTATTCTTTCGGAATTTCTGCATCACTGAATGGCTCTCCTCCCCTTCCCCCCCGCCCCCCCATATAAGCTACTTTATAAATTGCTTCAATGGCATTATTTCCAGGTCTTACTGCTGCTTGAAAGAATTGTCTTTGCTTTTGTTTTTCATCTTCAAATTTCTTCAATACAACCTTTCGCACCTCTTACTCTAAAATATTTGTGGTCCTTATGAGTGTTATAATGCTGATGAGCACTGAATTTCTTTAACGTTGATATTGTGGTATCACGAAGCTAGCAAATCATCTTATCTTTAACAGAAACAAGATAATGGTGCAATTCCCAGTACTCATTTAAAACATCTGTTTTCTTCCTTCAGCATTCTCTTGGTCTTCTTTGACACGATAGGCTTTTAAGCAGACAGAATTAACTATCAAGCTGTGTAACTTCACAAATTCCACTTCAAACAGAAACACAGTGCACTGTTGTGAAAAGCTGATAACAGACTGGTGTACTCGACCCCCACAGACCTGCCCCGACCAGCCTCCTGCGGCAGTGGTTCCGGTCAGGCAGGGGAAGTTAGAACTAAATCAGGAAAGAAGCGACTGTCAATTTAGCCCTTGTGGCTTCCTAATGTTCTAATTGTGCTGGTCAATCTGGGAGGATTATTTCATTGAAACTTAGTTTATTCTTTGGTATTTTAAATATGTTAATTAAAAAAAGAAAATATGAAAGATGAACAAAAATGTATCAATAAAAATAAAAGGATTTGCAGCCAGGCTCAGTGGCTCACGCCTGTAACCCTAGCTCTCTACAAGGTGGGGGCAGGAGGATTGCTTGAGCCGAGGAGTTTGAGGTTGCAATGAGCTGTGATGATGCCACTGCACTCTATCCAGAGCAATAGGGAGAGATTCTGTCACAAAAATAAAAATAAAATAAAAAAATAAATACAATTATTTGTTCTATAAAATTTGGATCCAGTCACAAGGCTGCACTTAAGGACCTATCAGACCAAATGTGGTCTTAAGGCCACAGGATCCCCACCCCTGTCCCGGTCTGTAGGATCAAAACTGGGTGGTCACTGTGTCTACATTCCAGTCCCTGGAAATGTAAATGAGAGGAGGTAGAAGACAAGCAAATTCTTTTTAGGCCAGTAGAGGTGGCTCATGCCTATAATCCTAGCATTCTAGGAGGCTGAGGAGGGAGGACTGCTTTTTTTTTTTGAAACAGAGTCTCATTTTGTTGCCCAGGCTAGAGTGAGTGCCGTGGCATCAACCTAGCTCACAGCAACCTCAATCTCCTGGGCTCAAGCAATCCTGCTGCCTCAGCCTCCCGAGTAGCTGGGACTACAGGTATGTGCCACCATGCCTAGCTAATTTTTTTATAACATTAGTGGCCAATTAATTTATTTTCTATTTATAGTAGAGACGGGGTCTCGCTCTTGCTCAGGCTGGTTTCGAACTCCTGACCTCGAGCAATCCGCCCGCCTTGGCCTCCCAGAGGCGTGAGCCACACTGCGCCCGGCCGGGAGGACTGCTTGAATTCAGTAGTTCGAGGCCAGCCTGAGCAAGAGCAAGACCCTCTCTCTACAATAATTAAAAAAAAAAAGAAATAGAAAAATTAGTTGGGTGCAATGATGTGCAACTGTAGTCCCAGGCAGGAGGATCTCTTGAGCCCAGGAGTTTGAGGTTGCAGTGAGCTATGATGATGCTACTGCACTCTACCCAGGGTGACAGAGTGAGACTCTGTCTTATAAAGAAAGACACTTAAAAAAATAAAAAGAGGGCCGGGCGCGGTGGCTCACGCCTGTAATCCTAGCTCTCTGGGAGGCCGAGACGGGCGGATTGCTCAAGTCAGGAGTTCGAAACCAGCCTGAGCAAGAGCGAGACCTCGTCTCTACTATAAATAGAAAATTAATTGGCCAACTAATATATATACAAAAATTAGCCGGGCATGGTGGCGCATGCCTGTAGTCCCAGCTACTCGGGGCTGAGGCAGGAGGTCGCTTGGCCGAGGAGTTTGAGGTTGTGTGAAGCTAGGCTGATGCCACGGCACTCACTCTAGCCTGGGCAACAAAGCAAGACTCTGTCTCAAAAAAAATAAAAATAACTCAAAGAGTGACCAAGGTTTTAAGAAAAAAATAAAAATAAAAAAAAATAAATAAATAAAAAAATAAAAATAAAAAGACAATATTAGTGTGTCAACGTTAGTTTCTGGTTTTGATCATTGTACAGTATACCCCCTTATCCATAGGGGATACGTTCCAAGACCTACATCCTATAGATGCCTGAACCCTTGGATAGCCCTATGTATCTTATGTTTTCTCCTATACGCATATATGCCTATGATAAAGTTTACTTTATAAATTAGGCACAGTGAGAGATTAACAATAATAACTAATAGTAAAATAGAAAAATTTAACTATACACTATAATGAAAGTTATATGAATGTTGTCTCTCTCTCTCAAAATATCTTATTGTGTTATACTCACCATTTTCAGACTGTGGTTGACTGTGGATAACTGAACCCTTAGAAAGTAAAACTCCCAATGACCGGGAGGTGGGGGGGATTACTGTACTGTGATTATATGAGAGAAAGTCCTTGTTTCTAGTAAACACACACTGAAGTATTGGGGGTAAAGTGTCATCATGGCTGTAACTTGCTCTCAAATTCAAGGGGGAAAAGGTACTTAGTGAGAGAAAGATAAACCAAGTGTGGTACTATATTAACATTTGGGAATTGGTGAAAGGGACATAGAAATTTTTTTGTTCTATTCTTGTAACGTTTCTGTAATTCTGGAATTATGTCAAAATAAAAGGTAAAAACCAAACCAATCCAAACTCTATCCACCACCACAGCTGCTGAAATCAGAGGTCAACCAAGGGTAGAAACCAAAGGTTTCCACTAAGAACACAAGCAGCCCAAAGGGATATAAGCAAAACAATTTTTACAGACACTTCATACAAGAGAAATTTCAACTGGTCAATGAACATATTGAAACGTGCTTAATCTTATTAATTACCAGGGAAATGCAAATTAAAATAACTATAAGATACCCTGCACACCCACGAGACTGGTGAAGATTAGTGTGGGATAGTACCAAGTGTAGCCCCGTGGAACAGTGGGAATGAGCCTGCCTTGCTGGGTGGGAATGTACATTTATTTGTTCAACCATTTTGGAAAACTGTTTGGCATTATCCAACAAACTCAGAGACATGCACATATTCTGTGGCCCTGCAGTTTCACTCTTAGATACTTAGCCTGGAGAAACGCATGCATTTGTGCAGCACAACGTATGCACCAGAATGTTCACAGCAACGCTGTTCAAAATAACCCCAACCTGGAAAAAGCACAGATGTAGAGCAACAGGACAATGATAATTTGTGGTACAATCACATACTGAAATATTATACAGCAACGGAAACTCAAACTACATCTGCATGCAACAGCACGGAGAGCCCTTACAAAGATAGCATTGAACAAACCATATCGTTTTATTTATATGATGTTCCCAAACAGACAAAACCAAAATTATATTGTGCAAGGATACATCATATAGATACGGGTAATAAAACCATGAAGGAAAGAGATAAAGGTACACACGTGTAGGGCAGAGGCCGTGTGTGATTGAGTAGGAGCAGTGTCTCCGGGCCGGCAATGCTTTGTATCTTTACTGGGTGGTGGGTACACGGGGGTTCACTTTATAACCACTTTTCAAGCTCTATGTATATCCTGAACACTTTTCTATGTATTCTATTCCACAATAAAGACGAGTTAAATCATGTGTTAAATAAAAATAAAAAGTCATCTTTCATTCATACCCCGTTATATGTTTTAAATAAAGAAAAACAATATAGTTGGTCCGAGAGTTGTGGGTTATTGTTAAGCTGATTTAACATTGTCTCCCCCCACAACCACGCTTGACTAGCTTTAAAAAAATAAATAAAAAAAAAATAATAATATTATTTTTATTAAGAAAACAAAGTCATCTTTGCTCAACCATAGGTGCCTTTACAGTGTATGGACACAAGAGGGGGCACTAACCAATGAGCAGTGGAGAAGCGAGGTTTCCTAGCAACGGAGAAAAACACAGGAAGAAACGCCGGAGAGTGGTTAACTGATGGATTCTGGCTCCTGCACCTGCCGGTCAGCCAGCGTCCGCCTCCAGCACCTGGAGCACCTCTCACCTGTCATGGGGCGTGGAGCTCTTCCTCCAAGCGCAAGATCGGGTCTGCAGAACCGGGAGGCCGCGCCTCGCACCACTGAGCTTCCTTCTCCCTCCATATGACACCCTCGCTCTTATCCAGAAGACTCCAAACACATCCAGAAGACTCCAAACACGTCCTGCGTTTTCTCTCCAAAAACGGAGAGAATTAAGGAACAGAGAGGAGGGACTTTGCCTGCCGCCTTGTGAGACCTCGGATAGAGAAAGAAAGAGGAGGAGAGCCTTTTCAAGATTTGGGATGTGGTGGAAGTTTTCAGGACTGTTGACAAAACGGAAGGTCTTATAATAAATAGGTAAATATTAGGCAAAGTTGAGCCTGAGTGAGGTCATAATAATGAATACATGAAGAATACACTATGAAACGGAGCGTTCCCATACTTTCCCATACTTTCCCTCCCTTGATTTCACGACCACTCTGGTATCACCCCCTTTTACAGATGAAGACAGCGCGGCTCGGAAGGGTTACACGGTGAGCAGTCCAGGGTTTCCTCCCAACTCACTACTGTTAACTGGTTTGTTCATTCATTCATTCATTCATTTATTTATTTATTTATTTAGAGACAGAGTCTCCCTCGGTTGCCCAGGCTAGAGTGAGTGCCGTGGCATCAGCCTAGCTCACAGCAACCTCAAACTCCTGGGCTCAAGCAATCCTTCTGCCTCAGCCTCCCAAGTAGCTGGGACTACAGGCATGCGCCACCATGCCCGGCTAATTTTTTTATACATATATGTTTTTAGTTGGCCAATTAATTTCTTTCTATTTTTAATAGAGACAGGGTCTTGCTCTTGCTCAGGCTGGTTTTGAACTCCTGAGCTCGAGCAAACGGCCCGCCTCGGCCTCCCAGAGTGCTAGGCTTACAGGCGTGAACCACCTCGTCCGGCCAACTGGTTTATTTTTAAAGGGAAGAAACTGTTAATTGTCTCTAATAATCAAGGAGGTAACGTGTTTCTTCATTAAGTCAGCAAAACTGCTTTAAATCTTAATTCCTCACAGTGGGAGGCTGTTCGGACACTGTCCTGTACGCCTGCGGCAGCATAAACTGGCGGCCACTGGGTGGGAGAGCAGTCTGGAAACACGTATCAAGAGCCATAAAAACGTTCCTACCCTCCGATCCAGCAATCTGGTTTCTGGGAACCTATCCTAAGGATGTAATTTGAAATTTGGGAAAAGGCATATGGGCAAATAATTGGTGGCAGCATTATGTGGTTAGGTGATCAAGGGAACAACCTTACAGAGCAACATTAATGCCTGCCTTAAAAATGATGATTCGGAAAACTGGCATCATGGAAGTTCTGCTGTGTAATATTCAATAAAAAATAAAAGCAGCTATTAAATGACCTGGACACTAATCCATCCCGTAAGTAGATGCCATCCCATTAGTGTGGGGGTAGAGGTAAGGTGAGGGAAGAAAATAATTTCAGGGAGGTGGGCATGCTTTTTTCTCTTGTTTTTTGTTTGTTTTCATAACTTTTTTTCCCCCTTTCACTTCCACTCAGAATTTATATTTTCTTCTTTTCAAAATTTTTTTTCCTTTTTCTTTCTTTTTTCTTTTTTTTGAGACAGAGTCTCTCTCTGTTGCCCGTTCTAGAACACCATGGCATCAGCCTAACTCACAGCGACCTCAAACTCCTGGGCTCAAGCAATCCTCCTGCCTCAGCCTCCCAAGTAGCTGGGACTACAGGCATGCGCCACCATGCCCGGCTAATTTTTTTATACATATATGTTTTTAGTTGGCCAATTAATTTCTTTCTACTTATAGTAGAGATGGGGTCTCGTTCTTGTTCAGGCTGGTTTTGAACTCCTGACCTTGAGTGATCCACCCACCTCGGCCTCCCAGAGTGCTAGGATTACAGGCGTGAGCCACCGCACCCGGCCCAAAATTTCTTTTTAGTGGGTATTTCTTATATCAGTTGGCCATGTATGCTTACTCCAGAAAAGTTAGAAAATATAAGAATATTAAAATATTTGTACTCATAAAGAAACAATCTCTTGTAACACCTTAGAGCAGTGGCTCTCAAACTTGATTGTGCATCAGCATTACTCTGTTAAAGGCCCAGATTGCTGAGCCCTCTTCCAAAATTTTTGATTCAGTAGCTGTGGGGTAGGGCTCGAGAATTTATATCTTTAACAAGTTCCCAGGTGATGCTGATGCTGCTGGCCCCCAGGCCACACTTGGAGAACCACTGCCTTAGTTGTAGCCTTATGAAGTCTAAGCATCACACATAGAAACCCCTCACCAAAACAATGACATTTGTTTTTCCAGGAGCAACTTTTTTTTTTTTTTAGCTAAATCTTTGGTACGTTCTTACTTATCAATTATCTGAATAACCAAGATTATCATAATTATTAATTTATTCTCTTATAAAAATTATTAAGTTTCCAATTAAGGAAAGTTAAGGTATTAAGTTTCCAGTTCCAGAAATGGAATTGTTTGGGCCAAAAGACATATCTGTTTTTCAAGTTTTTTATTTTTAAAGCATTATTTATTATTTTATTCTGTTTTGTTATTTTTTAGAGTCAGGGTCTTGCTATGTTGCCCAGATTATCCTCAAACTCTTGGGCTCAAGTGATCCTCCCACCTCAGCCTTCTGAGTAGCTGGGAATACAGGTGTATGCCATTGTGCCTGGCTCAAACTTTTAATATATACTGTCAGATTGTCAGCATAGAATCTAATGTTTGCCATATACCATGTGTGTCAACTTATTTCATCTTCAAAATGTATTCATTCAGTCTTTCACCAAATGCTACTTTGTGCCAGGTATTTTGGGACTCAGAGATAAGCAAGACACAGTAACCTTATGAAGGATAGCCTATTATTATTCCCATTGTACAGATGAGGAAACTGAGACCCATGAGATGACTTGCCTAAGAACAGACAGAGATGCCAGGCACAGTGGTGCATGCCTGTAGTCCCAACTACTTGGGATGCTGAGGCAGGAAGATATGTTGAGCCCAGGAGTTCAAGACTAGCCTGGGCAACATAGGAAGACTCCAACACACACACAAAAAAATGTTTTTAATTAAAAACAAAACCACACAGAGGGTAGCTGCTCCTTGGGCTGCTTCATAATTTGCATGAGGTAAATCTTTTCTGGCTCCCAGCAGCCTCATGTTGCATTGTTCCATATGGAAGAGAATGTTTTAATTTTGGGTGGCAACTCTTTTCCTCTTTTTCTTTTTCCCCATTACAGTCCTGGAAAAATCAAATGAGGAAACATCCTGGCATATAGCTTAGGAAATAAAGCTTGTCCAAAAACTGCCAGGAATAAAAGCTAACAACACTTTCTCCACTGCATTTCATTCCCCACCTCAAAAACTTAGGCAGAGTTGGCTCCTTTTGATCCCAAAATTAGACTGGTTAGTAAAATTTCTAAGAAAAAGCATGATAGATGTGTGTGGACAAGTAGCAATTTAGTCAGATCTTGTTTTTCAGTTTCCTAACTAACTATAACTTTAATTACAATTATTGGCTGAGTAGCTTACTGGTTAAGTACAAAATCTTGTGAGTTAAACAGATTTGACAAAGCAGAAAGTTTTACAACAAATATTGTTATAACTCTCTAAGCTTCAGTTTGCCCGTCTGTAAAATGTGGGGCAAGAATACTTCCTTCAAAGTCAGGTGTGGTGGTGGGTGCTTATAGTCCCAGCTACTCTGGAGGCCGAGGCAAGAGGATCCCTTGAGCCCAAGAGTTTTAGTCCAGCCTGGGCAATGTAAAAAGATCCTATCTTTCAAAAAATAAAATTAGGTTGTACTTGCTTCGGCAGCACATATACTTAGAAATTGGGACAATACAGAGATTAGCATGGCCTCTGTTTTTTATTTTAAATAAATAAATAAAATAAAATTAGAGCTGGGCATGGTAGCTCAAGTCTGTAATTTCAGCTACTTGGGAGGGTGAGGCAGGAGGATTGCTTGAGCCCAGGAGTTCAAGTCCAGCCTGTATAGCAAGCGAGACCCCATCTCCACAAAAAAGAAAAGAAAAATAGTGGCCTCAGCTGCAGATGCTGTGTTGGCGGCAGTATCTTTCCTGCACCAGATTAACTTAGCTTCAAGTCCACGGTATCCAGCCATTGATCTGGCTTATAAATCCTTTTCCATCCCTGCAAGAAAAAGGACCAGAAACAGTTCACTTTCCCCCCCCCCCAACAGTTCACTTTTATGTGGGGCAGACGACAGTATACACTTACTGTTTCCTTCAAGGCTATGTTCCGTCCTGCCCTTTGGAGTAACATAGTCTGAAGGGACTAGCCCACCTGGCCGTTCTGCAGAACATCACACCGGCCACTCCCCCCGGGAAATCGTGTTGCCAGGCCAGATGAACAAGGCCTGGCTCTGGAGGAGTAGGAGATAAACCCCGAGAATTCAAAGGACCCCAGAGGATGGCCGTTTAAGTTCAGGGGCTCACCACATCAGTGAAGTTTCCAGTGGTCTGGGGCATGTTGGGACATCCTCTCCAAAGTAATGGACAAGTATTTGTAAAATATCAGGAAACTACTGGCTGGGCGTGGTGGCTCACGCCTGTAATCCTAGCACTCTAGGAGGCTGAGGCGGGCGGATTGCTCGAGGTTAGGAGTTCGAAACCAGCCTGAGCAAGAGTGAGACCCTGTTTCTACTAAAAATAGAAAGAAATTAATTGACCAACTAAAAAATATATATATAGAAACAATTAGCCGGGCATGGTGACGCATGCCTGTAGTCCCAGCTATGCGGGAGGCTGAGGCAGTAGGATCACTTGAGCCCAGGAGTTTGAGGTTGCTGTGAGCTAGGCTGACGCCACGGCACTCACTCTAGACTCTAGCCTGGGCAACAAAGTGAGACCCTGTCTCAAGAAAGGAAAGGAAAGGGAAAGGGGAAGGGAAGGGCAGGGCAGGGAAGGGCAGGAAGGCGGGAAGGCAGGGAAGGGCGGGAAGGCAGGGAGAGCAGGGAAGGGAGGGGAAGGGAAGGGGAGGGGAGGGAGGGAGGAGGGAAGGGAAGGGAAGGGAAGGGAAGGGAAGGGAAGGGAAGGGAAGAGGAAAATCTACTAAAGACCAAAAAAAAAAAAAGTACAAAAAAAGAAAATATATATATAGGTGAATGTCTTATTCTTCCTGAAGAAGGAAGCACAGGTGCTAGCTCTGTGCCTCAAGTTCTGGGGTGAGCATACTGCATGCTTGGGAGAGCTGCTGCAGCCCACTTTCTCAGTGACATGGAAGGCTGCCAACTGCGAGCGGGTCCCAGGGCAGAAAAGAGTTCTGCAGCAGATCCAGGCCGTCGTGCGAGCAGCTCTGCCTCTTGGGCCGTATGACCTGGAAGACCCCGCGGTATCCGAGGTCTCTGGGGTGGGAAGAGATGCCACGTGTTCATGGCAAGCCCCAGTGAGAGAATCACCACCCAGACCCCTACAGTTCTGGAGCAAGGCCATTCAGTCTGCAGCACAGAACTATGGCCATTTGAAGCACTCCTCCTGGGGTGGCGCCTCCTGGAGATGGAGTGCCTGACCACGGGACATTAAGTGGCCCTTCAGCCAGAATTGCCCACAGCAAACAGGGATCTGTCACACCTACCAAGCAATAAGGCCAGGTGGGCTCAACAGCGATCCATAGTAAGGTAGGACATCTGGGATCAGGCACAAGCAGGGCCAGAGAACATAGCTGCACAAGACCCCATGTCACCCCCAAATGTTGCAGTCGTGTGCCTCCTTTAGCTCACACCTGTGGCTGCTTCTGGGCTCCTTTCAACCAGCTGGCAAGGAAGAAAAAGGCCAAGCTTGATCCACAGATGGGTCTGCTTGGTATGTGGGTGCCTGCTGAAAATGGAGAAAAGCTGCAGCACAGCCTCGCTCAGAAGTAACTTTTAGGTCGGGCACAGTGGCTCATGCCTGTAATCCTAGTACCCTAGTAGGCCAAGGCGGGAAGATCGATCACTTGAGGTCAGGAGATTGAGACCAGCCTGAGCAAAAGGAAGACCCTGTCTCTACTAATGTTAGGGACCGACCTTCCACAGCCCCACCGGACAGAAAAGCAGAGACATCGAGGATGCAATCACACAAGAGGAGGTTTATTTTCTGGCTAGCCAGGGTCCAAGCCCCAGAGCACCAACGCAGTGGCCACTCTCGCAGGCAAGGACCCCGACCAGAACAACGGCATGCCTTTTATCCCCATGGTGCACAAACTGCACACAAGCTGACTACGCATGGATCATGAGTTGACCTTTAAAATGATCGGTTGCCCACTATTGCCTTTTGAAATAATTGGCGGGTTGGTTGCCCCCTATTGCCTGATGGGCCAGTCGCCCGTGCTTCAATGACCTCATCCCATAATTCCCCCTACAGCGGTGAGAGGAAACAATGACCAGAAGCAAAGTTGCGGTTAGCTCAATTGGCCCACCCAGTAAATTCCGACAATTGGCAAGGAGGATTCCTCTGCCTTCCTCGGTCCTACAATTCTCATGGCCGCGCGTTACCACTAAAAATAGGAAAAATTAGCCGGGCATGGTGCTCAGCCAGTCCCGCTACTCAGGGAGGCCGAGGCAGGAGGATCGCTTGAGCCCAGGAGTTTGAGGTTGCTGTGCAGCTAGGCTTGACGCCAGGACTCCTCTAGCCCCAGGGAAGCAAAGCGAGACTGCTGTCTCAAAAAAAAAAAAAAAAAAAAAAAAAAAGGAGTAACTTTTAAGACAATAATGAGGACTATGATCTTCCTAATGGCCGTACACCTGCTCATCCACTTTGTGGACAAGGAAAACGGCCTGAGTAAGATAAACAGCGGCCGTGGCAGAAAGGAACGAGTAAATTACAGGAAGTTAGGACAAGAGTCTGGAAAAGAGGGTGCTACCAACTGTGGGGACGGGCACAAAGTGGGAGAATCTTTGCGGCGATGTCCATGGGCGAGCATCTGTCATGGAACAGCCAACCACACAGTGACTCAGGCGGTTCCACCGTCTCCTCCCGTCACTGGCAACCCCAGTTTTGGCACAATGGGCTCATAAATGGAGGCGCTATTTGGCCAGCTTAGAGGTTCTGCATTCGCTAAGAATGATCTAGCTACTGCTGCTGTTTTATTTTTTAACTATAGTCCCATGCCAGATTTTTTCAACTTCACACATTTCTTTCTTTCTTTCTTTTTTTTTTTTACTATGGTATTTTACTTGTCTCAAACTCCTGGGCTCAAGAAATCTTTTTGGCCTCAGCCCCCCAATTAGCTGGGACTACACCACCATGCCCGGCTGCTACTACCACTGCCGAATGTCCAATCTTCCAGCGGCAAAGACTAACAGAGTGCTCTCAATGTGGCAACCATTCTTCCAGGAGGCCCCCAGCCCCTTGGTGGCAAGTTAATCACATCGGACCTGTTTTACCTGGAAGGGGAAGCAGTTCATCTTGACTGGGACCGACACATCTTTTGGTGTGGAGTTACCTTTCCTGGCTACAGGGCCTCAGCCAATCTAAAAACATTTTTTTTTTTAAAGACAGAGTCTCACTTTGTTGCCTGGGCTAGAGTGAGTGCCGTGGCGTCAGCACAGCTCACAGCGACCTCAGACTCCTGGGCTCAAGGGATCCTCACTCTTGCTCAGGCTGGTCTTGAACTCCTGACCTCAAGCGATCCTCCCACCTTAGCCTCCCAATCTAAAGACTTGCAAAGTGTCTGAACCACTGATGCTTGGTTTCAGGTAACTCCCAGTAGACCAAGGGACAGCAGAAGCAGTGCCGCAGTTTGTGCGTAACTGTGGGATCCACTGGACTCGGCCCGCGCCACACTGCCCAGAAGACTTTGGAGGACTTTGGGGCTGTGACCTATATCCCAGCTAGTCAAGCTGGGCCCAGGGAAAAAACTGGCTTGGGGTCTCTCCCAGCCCTGATCTAGAAATATCATTTCACTTCTCTCCACAGACTGCAAAAAGCAGGCATTTTGGCTATTAATTCTTTCTGACTTTTGGCCTTTCTCTCTTCACAGGTGCAACAAATTCTGCCTGCCTGGAGGCTGTGGCACCACAGTGCTCCTGGGAGTGTCGCTGCCCCAACCCCAGTGCTGCTTCCCACGGAAACCCGCCGCCCGCCCGGGGCTGACTTCGTCCATGCCCGGGTGGCCCCAGCCCTGTGGGATCGCAGGCTCTGTCATTCCTTCCCTTTCCGACGTCTGAGCCAATCCACTCCCGCTTTCTACAGTGACAGACGAGAAACCCTGATTGGAGTCAGACTCGGATTCAACTTCTGTTCTTCTCCCAGGTGCATTTTTATCTCATTTCAACCAACAGTCCCTAGAAAACTCTAGTCCATCTCCAAAAGGAGTGATGAGCAAGATAGCCGAGGCTCCTTATGTCTCCCCTCAGTAGCAGTCACTGTCCCGTGGTCTCCTAACTGGATGTGGCTTCCCTAGAGGCTGTGACCATGTCATGAGGGAGGGGCCTACATACGCAGGCCACCTCGGAGCAGGCACTAAGGCCCCTGCGCCGCTGGCGCCTTGACTGTGGTCTGCTGAGACCATGCTCTCACAGGCGCGCGAGGACTGTGGGTGCCGGAAGCAGTCAGGGACCTGAAAACTTCCCTTCTCTCTGACAACCTCCCCCTCCCCCACTGCTCTATGGCTGTTGTTGTGATTGAAGTTTGAGTATTAAAAATGCTTAGTACACTCTGGGAGGCCGAGGCAAAAGGATCGCTCAAGGTCAGGAGTTCGAAACCAGCCTGAGCAAGAGTGAGACCCCGTCTCTACTAAAAATAGAAAAATTAATTGGCCAACTAATATATATAGAAAAAATTAGCTGGGCATGCTGGCGCATGCCTGTAGTCCCAGCTACTCGGGAGGCTGAGGCAGGAGGATCACTTGAGCCCAGGAGTTTGAGGTTGCTGTGAGCGAGGCTGATGCCAGGGCACTCCAGCCCGGCCAACACAGTGAGACTCTGTCTCAAAAAAACAAACTGCTTAGTGACGGTCACTTTGGCAGCACATATACTAAAATTGGAACAATACAGAGAAGATTAGCATGGCCCCTAATAAAAATAAAATAAAAAAAAAAAACTTAGTAAGTCTAAAAATAAAAAAGCACTTAGCTAAAAAAGAGAGAGAGAGAGAGAGCTGCAGCTGAGACAGCGGCTTGGAAACGGCACTGCGAGGACAGAGCTCGCCTTCCCGAGGCGGCTTCGCACCCACCAGCCGCCCGCGGACGGACGCTGTGTGCAAGGAGGACAGACACCTCTGAGAGTGCGGGGTGCAGGCACATCACGCTCCAGTGAGCGCTGCGAGAATTTGGGTCCCTCATCCCCACAGCTCTGGGCTCTTTTGGGTCTAGACATCCGCATTAAACCAGCTGCTATCTCTGGTTGTAAAAAAAAAATAAAAAAGAAAAATGTATAAAAAAGAAAAAGGAAAAATGTATGCCAGCAATGATGATGGGTTAAAAAAAAAAGAAGAAAGAAAAATAAATATAAAAATTAAAAAAAAACAAACAAAAACCCAGACGCTACCCTGTCTCTTCAAGACCAAGTGACCAGGTGGGGCAAAGGCAATATATGTAACATAAACATTTGTACCCCCATAATACACTGAAATAAAAAAAAAAAGAAAAAAGATCAAGGGACCAGCAGACAAAAAAGGGAGTCACCTTCTTGGCAAGTTAATTGGCCAGGGTCACCAGGAGGTGTGGCTGCAGCTACAAGACGGGGCAGGGCCGTGTGCCACTCCAGCTGATCCACGGCTCTCCGACCACTCTGATGTGAACAGACAGATGCAGCAGCCACGGCCTAAGACAAGCGTGGTGACCAGGGCCCCTCCCAGGGCCCTCCACTAGGGTGACCGCCTACACCAGCAGAGATGCTAGCTGAAGGTGAGGGCATCCAGAAGGGGCAGGAGGGACGGAGGGGAGGACTAGCAGTTATGGCCTGAAACCAGCTGTGGCCTCAGCTACAGTTCAGTCCACTGACCATCTTGAGCTGCTGCAGGTGGGGTTGGCTTATTTTACAAGGCAGTGGGACGCACACCGGGCAGGCCTCCAGTGGAGCCGCGGTGTGTTGCTTGGATCTCCTCTCTGAGCACCAAGGCCCGCGCTCTCCAGGTGCCAGGAGTCGTGCTCTCTTCTGGAAACAGTCACAACTCCTCTCGGGGCAGCCTTCGCCAATGCCAGACCTACCAGCACGGGAATACAAAGGCATGCTGCCCTTCTGTGCATTCAGGACTGGGAAGCAGATTCAGAGGCGCTCCCTGTGGGAAGTGCCGCTTCCTCGCCCTCCGAGTCACTCCCCAGTGAGTCCCCTGCATGCAGTGTCCTCCTCAGAGTTCGTTTCTGGGGAACCTGGCCTAACACACCACACACATCCTCAGCCGCACTGGTTGGTCAATGTCAAAACTGTTCCCAAGATGTTGTTCAACCTACATTCCTACCAACAGTGCCTGAGAGTTCCATTTACTCGATATCCTTGCCAAATTCTAGCATCAAGTTTCTCATTTTTAGCCAATCTGGTGGGTGTAAAATGGAACTTTCCACCCTATTGAAATGATTGATTAAAAAAAAAAGCAAAAAAAAATGGAACCTGATTGTGGTATTTTTGTTTATTTGTTTCTGTTTTGGGGGTTTTTTTTCCTCTTTATTTTGAGACAGGGTCTGGCTCTGTCACCCAGGCTAGAGTGCAGTGGGGCCATCATAACTCACTGAACCTGGAAGTCCTGGCCTCAAGCAATTCTCCTGTCTCAGCCTCCCAAACTGCTGAGATTACAGGTGTGACCTACCACGCCCCTCGCTGTGGTTTTCTTGTTTTGGTTTTTTGTAGATCTCACTGTGTGGCCCAGGCTGGAGTGCAGTGACTATTCAAAGGCGAGATCATGGCTCCCTGCAGCCTCAAACTCCTGGGCTCAAGGGACCTTCCTGCCTCAACCTCCCGAGAAGCTAAAACTACAGGCACAGAGTGCCAGGCCATGGTTTTGATTCATATTTCCCTGATGACTACGGAGTTTGAGCACCTTTCATGGGTTTACTGGCCATTTGGATTTCCTCTTGGGGAACAGCCTCCACTCCTTTGCCAGGTCCCGTTTCATAGTCCCGTTCATTTCGTGCTGGCTAACAAGGGAGTGAGTGCTTGGTTTACTCAGGTGAGCCAAGAAAACTGGAATGGCTTTCCTGAAGGCCACCAGCCTTGATGAATCCCTCAGTCCTCCTCTGACTTGACGTCTGAGCAGCCTAAGATTTGGTTGGTCACTCCCTCCTCCCACCCTCTTTTCTTGGCCTCCTGGACCCTGGACAATCCTTGTTTTCCTTCCCCTTGCCTCTCTGGCCGGCCCTTCTCTGTGTCCTGTGCGCTCGACTGTGCAATGCTGGGCTTCCTCAGAGCTCAGTCCTCGGCCCTCTCCTCGTCTTACTCTGGACTTTCACCCTGGGTAAGCTCTCCCGTCCCCAGCTGCAGTCCCACCTCTGTGTACTCACAGTTTCAACATTCCTCTCCTCCGACACTTCCATGTGAACGTCCCAAAGCCCCTCAACCTCAAACCACGCTCTTCCCTCCAAAACCTGGTTGTTGTCCAGCCATCCCTGTTGCCAAAAACTCCACACTTGTCCTCAAGGCCACATCAGAAGACTGAGAACAAGTAGTTTGGGGAGAAGGAAAGAGAAGTTTATTGCCTTACTGGCAAAGGAGGAGGATGGAGACTCTTGTCTGAAATGCCATTGTCCTAATAATAAGCAGAAATACAGACCTTTTAAAGGACGGGTTCTCAGCTTTGGGCAATTGCTGTTCAGCTACAGTGATGATTCTGATCGTCCCATCTCCGACAATCCGTGACCTCCACCCAGGACCTCTCTCCACCAGGCACAAAGAACACAAAACATTACCCTGCCTCTCCCAACCACTGGCCTGAGGCAGCGATGCAGGTTTTAGTTCTCAAAAAGGAGTGGAGGATGTTTTAAAGAGACATACAATATTTTTGCCAATTTTTCAAGCCATTCCCTCTGTTACATATTTCCCCTGTCAATATTTCCCTTCCGTATCTTTGGGAGGAGGGTGACTACTCTGTTACAGCCCTGCTTCAGGAAAGATCTCACAATCCTTCCAATTCCCAATATCACAAACCCAGGAATCCCTCTCTCAGCCTGTATCCAACCTCATGACCAGCACTGGTTGTTTTCAGTTTATCCCCCTAGATCCACCCCGTACCCTTCTCCATCGCACGCTCTGTGTCAGGAATCTGATTGTGTGGACAGCTTCAGTGGGCTTCCTTGTTGTTTAATTTCTAATTGGGTTTGGCTAATGGTGTTTTAGTTATTTATTGCTACATAATAAACTACTCCACAACCTAGTGGCTTAAAAATACCACCATTATGTTATCTCTCATAACTCTGTAGACCGACTGGGGTCATCCTGGGTCAGTTCCGCCCTCCATGGTGCCAGCTGGGGCGCCAGTCGTCTGCAGACAGCATCCAAGATGGCGTCCACATGCCCGGCGGCTTGTGGGGCTGGCGGGATGGCTAGGGGTCTGGACTCGGCCAAACCAGAAAGGCTGAAACTCTCTTTTCCCAAGTCGTTTCAGGGCCTCTCCCTCTCCCTTGCCATGTGGTCTCTCCAGCACGAGGTAACCAGGCTTTTTATGTGGCAGCTCAGGGCTGTCCAAATGGCAAAAGCTGAAACTTCTAGGCCCTCTAAGTCTTTGACCCAGAGCTGGCATGGCATCACTTCTTCCGCCATCTGTTGGTTAAAGTAGGTCACAGGACTGGCCCAGATACGACGTGGGAGGGGATGTGCAAAGGCAGGAGCACCAAGAGGCCTGAGTCATCGGGCCATCTTTGGCGACCAGCCACCAGTCTACCATCTGGTCCCCACAGCCCCTCTCACATGCAAAACAAGCCCTCCCACCTCCCGTGAGCCCCAAGGTCTCATCCCAGTTCCGCCTCAGGCCCAGGCGTGAAGTCAAGTTACTCATCAACAAAATCTCACTCTGTTGTTGACCGGGCGTTTGGGTGTGGCTCCTCGAGCTAAAGGCCTGCCAACCGGGGAGGCGAGTTATCTGCCCTCTCGGGCCGTCATACCACCGTGGAGCAGGGACTGGAACAGCACAGGACACACTCTCATTCGAAAAGGGGAGACCTAGAGAAGTCACAGGTCCACAGCAATTCTGAATTCTGCTGCGTGCAGTTCTCCCTGCTCCTGGGGTAGGAAATGTATGTTAATTAAAGCCCCAGGTCTGCTTTCTGGGTATGGTTCTATTTGGCTCTTGGCTCAGCCCTCTGAATCATCCTTCTTTCCTGTGAGAAATGGCCCATGTATGCTTGCTTTCTGCACTTAGGAAATTTGGGCCACAGAAGCTGCTTTTTGTTTCAAAATACCTCTATTATTTCAGTTCAAGGTAGTAAAATTAAAAATTTTGTGAGTTTCCTATGTATCAAATTATAATTTGCTCCATTAGACAAAAGCTGCTAAGGGACAATGCCCTGAAGATTCTTACAACCTTTTTGTCCAGCTGAGAGGATCTACCTGGCACACCCTTAAATCTTTCTGAGAGAAAACAAAAGGGTCTTATGGCTGCATACTGGATTTGATCTTGACCACCTTTTACTGGCAACCCCCTGGACTTAATCTTTGGTACCACGTTCTTCCCCTACCCCCAGGTTTTTATGTTTATTGTTTCATTTCTTTTTTTTTAATATTTTTCAAGACAGAGTCTCGCTCTGTTGCCCAGGCTAAAGTGCCATGGTGTCAGCCTACCTCACAGCAACCTCAAATTCCTGGGCTCAAGCGATCCTCCTGTCTCAGCCTCCCGAGTAGCTGGCTAATTTTTTCTATATATTTTTAGTTGTCCAGATAATTTCTTTCTATTTTTAGTATAGACAGGTCTCACTGTTGCTCAGGCTGGTCTCCAACCCCTGAGCTCAAGCGATCCTCCCCCCTTCGCCTCCCAGAGTGCTAGGATTGCAGGCGTGAGCCACTGCACCCAGCCCTCCCAGTTGTTTGTTTTTTTTTGAGACAGAGTCTCACTTTGTTGCCCAGGCTAGAGTGAGTGCCATGGCGTCAGCCTAGCTCACAGCAACCTCAAACTCCTGGGCTCAAGCAATCCTCCTGCCTCAGCCTCCCGAGTAGCTGGGACTACAGGCATGTGCTACCATGCCCGGCTAATTTTTCTATATATATTTGTTGGCCAATTAATTTCTTTCTTATTTATAGTAGAGACGAGGTCTTGCTCTTGCTCAGGCTGATTTCGAACTCCTGACCTCAAGCAATCTGCCACCCTCCTTGGCCTCCCAGAGTGCTAGGATTATAGGCGTGAGCCACCACACCTGGCCTCTTTAAGGATCTTTATTGGGCTGTAGAGGCTGGGAATGAGAAACAGTTTTATTTTCTAATCCAGCAAGTTTGGGGCTAGAAACCTTTGACTTTGCTTAAATACTGAAGAGTTCCTTCTTTAGTTGATCTATCCATTTTAGCTTCTTATATGCAGCTAAAATGAGCCAGTTGACTCTTTCAACATCTTGCCTTAGCCAAACCAACAAGGTCATTAAGTATATTTTCTTTTTATTATTATTATTATTATTTTTTATTAGATTTTTAAAATTCCTTTTTCTTTCTTTTTTTCTTTTTTACAGTGCTTTACAATCCATCAATCAAAAATGAAGTATATTTTCTATTCCCACATTATCACGGGGAACAGTTTTACTAAGTACATACATGGGGTCTCCTTTACTCAGCCTTCAATAACAATTTCCTTACAGTCCTTCCGGGTTCTAAGAATGATCCTGTCATCCCAAAAGATCACCAGGATAGCTAAATAGTAGAAAGAAGAGCTTTATTGGCAATATCGGTTTGCAAATCAGGAAGAAGTGGCCCCAGGTGTGTGTTGAAGGCACTCTGTCTTTGAAGAGGGGAAAGACAGGTTGGGTGGTAGGCCTCACAAGGCCTGTGTCGCACAAATGAGTCACACATATTCAGCAGGTTTGGGGGGAAGCCATACACAGTTATGAGGGGAGCTACGCACATGTGCCTTGGGCAAACATATCTATATAACATACATCCCATATTCACTTTGGGGTGGGATTTCAACATTAAAATGAGGTGGAATTTTGGCTCTTTACATCAAAAGGTGAACTACGTAGGAGACACAAAGACAGTTTGTATGCAGCCTCTATAAACTGGTTGAAACTCACTTAAGGACTGGGCACAGTGGCTCACACTTGTAATCCTAGCAATCTGGGAGGCCAAGGTGGGAGGACTGCTTGAGCTCAGGAGTTTGAGACCAGCCTGAGCAAGACTGAGATCCTATCTCTACCAAAAAGAAATTTTTAAAAAACCCAGCCAGGCACTGGCGCACACCTGTAGTAGTCCCGGATACCTGTGCGGCTGAGGCAGAAGGATTGCTTAGAACCCAGGAGATGGAGGTTGCCGTGAGCTACGATGACGCCACTGCACTCTACCCAGGGTGGCAGAGTGAGGCTGTTTCAACAAAAACAAACAAGGAAACCGGACACCCCTCCTCACAACCTCCCACCCCTTCATATTAAAAATAATAATAAAAAAAGAAGGAAAGAAACTGGCTAAGAAGAATGTAAGGCACTGTCCCATCAGAGTTATAGTGGGCTGGGTTGTAAATCAGAGTTAGGGGGATCTGGTAACTAACTATTGTTAGAGCGCTTAGAGCCCTTAGGAGTTTAGAAACTTGCCATGGCAGCCAGGCCCTGAATCCTCTACCCATAGATAGCTTTGTTTCCTTAGCCTTAGGGCCCATCTTAGTTGATAAAGGGACATCACAATCCCCTGAAGGCCTGGCCAGCCTCTGCTCACTGCCCTGTCCCTAAGCCAATGGAACACTTTTTCAGTGTTAGTTATTAGAGTCTCTCTCTTCTAGATAGCAATTCCTGTTTTGGTTATCTATTGCTGAATAGCAATCACCCCAGCACTCAGTGGCTTTGAACAACATTCACGTATTATCTCTTGTGAGTCTGAAAATTGACTGGGTTGGGCTCCTCATGGTGCTGGCTGGGAGAGCAGTCATCCTGGGCTGGAATGTCCAGCATGGCTCTCTCACATGGCTGGCACCTTGCTGGGGACGGCTCAATGTCTAGGCTCAGCTAGGGCACCAGCACACTGCGCCTCTCTCTTTCTACTTGGCTTCTCCATGTGATCTCTCTTGGTGGTCTGTTCAACAGGACAGGAAGACCTAGGACCAGTTTCATAAATGTTTTGTCCCTAGGTGCGCCCATTCCTTAGCTGCTCCTGTTCCACCAAGAAGGCTCTGCCTCTGTATCCTTCTGCCATGGGATCCACTGACTGCTTGGGATTTGTCTGTTCTGTCCTGTGCTGAGCCCTTGCTAAAGACGTGATATGAACTTTCTCCCTCAAACCTCAAGGCAGACCCAGTTAGGTAGGTATCGCTTGTTTCCTCATTTTATAATGTTCAGTGACTTGCCCAAGGTCATGAGCTGGACTGGAATCCAGGTCCATCTGACTCCATAGGCTTTGCCCTCTTCAGCCCCCTGCCCAGGCAGCCCCCAGTGTCAATCAGCGAACCCTACAGCACGGTGACTGTAGGTTGAGGAGCTTATGGGTTTTTAGGTATAAGGTGCACATGGTAAAGTGCAAACATGGATTTTTCACACACAGTTCAGTGATGTTTACATCTGTACACATGCAACAACCACCAAGATCAAGATTTAGAACACCTCCAGCACCCTTACAAACCTCCTCATCCCTCTCCCTAATCTACACTCCTCTGACTTCTTTCATCAGCAAATAGTTTTGCATATTCTTGTCTTGGTGATACTATGAAAAGACAGACCTGAAATCACAGTTCTCCACTAGTTCCCAGTTGTGGGACCTTGGCCAAGTTACTATCTTCTCTGATCATCAGTGTTCTTATCTGCATAGTGAACACGAATAACCCCTCCCTCACAGCACGGTTAGTCCCTTCCTCTTCAGCCAATTCTTCATGTTCCTGAAAAATGTGCCACACAGCACAAAATATGAATTTGGGCAGGAGCATTGGCTCCCAACCCTAGTTGTGCATTAAAATAACATGGGAGAAATTTTTAACATACCAATGCCCAGCCCCTAACCCCAGAGGTTTTGATTTAATTCACCTGTGTGGGGGAGCCGGCATCTGTATTTTGTCAAAGCTGCTCAGGTGATTCTAAGGTGCAGCTGGGGTGGGAGCCACCTGCATATTCATTTGAGAGGCTGTCAAGGGGGAGATGGTGACCATCCAACCCAGTTTGCCCCAGGACTGTCCCAGTTTTAGCGATGAAAGTCCTGCATCCCAAGAAACCCCTTAGTCCTGGGCAAACTGGGATGGTTGGCCATCTCTCAGGGAGATGATATGCCAATGTTTGATATGTGCTACTTAAATTTATCTATTTATTTATTTATTTATTTTTGAGATAAAGTCTTACTCTGTTGCCCGGGCTAGAGTGCCGTGGTGTCAGCCTAGCTCACAGCAACCTCAAACTCCTGGGCTCAAGCCATCCTCCTGCCTCAGCCTCCCGAGTAGCTCAGACTACAGGCACTCACCACCATGCTTGGCTAATTTTTTTTTTCTATATATGTTTAGTTGGCCAATTAATTTATTTCTATTTATAGTAGAGACGAGGTCTCTCTCGTTCTTGTTCAGGCTGGTTTCAAACTCCTGACCTCTAGCAATCCGCCCACCTTGGCTTCCCAGAGTGCTAGGATTACAGGCATGAGCCACCGCCTGGCCTGGGCTACTTAAATTTAGGATTTCCTTTCTATTCAAGTGTCAGGTTTGAAGTCAAAGTGTTAAATGCTTTTGAACCTGGGGAATAAAGACAAGAAGGCTGCTGCTCCAGCCCAGCTCACTTGGGCATCTTAGTGCAGAGTCGGAATGCACAGAGAGGCTGGAAGCTCCGCAGCCACCACAGGAGTAGAAAGGAGACAGAGATCAGGGGGCAAGGGGTGTGTGAGGATCATTATGGGGTCCTATAAAATGCAGCTTACTTTCCAGCAGGTCTGGGGTGGGCCGGAGACAGTGCATTTCTTTTTCTTTTTCTTTTGTTTGAGACAGGGTCTTGCTCTGCCGCCCCCGCTAGACTGCAGTGGCATGATCATAGCTCACTGCAACCTCACACTCCTGGACTCAGGCGATCATCCTGCCTCAGCCTCCCAAGTAGCTGGGACTACAGTCACAAGCCACCATGCCCAGCTAATTTTTCTACTTTTAGTAGAGACAGGGTCTCGCTCTTGCTCAGGCTGGTCTTGAACACCTGACTTCAAGCAGTCCTCCCATCTCGGCCTCCCAGAGTGCTGGGATTACAGGCATGAGCCACCTGGAGACTGTGCATTTCTAACAAGCTCCCAGATGACTCCAATGCTAGGCTAGGTCCTGGGGATAGTTTTTAGAGTGTAAGCTTTGGGTGTGAGGTGCAACTTCTCTCTTACAACCCGTGTGGCCTTGGGAAAATACTCCTTCTAGACCTTCCGGTTTTTCAGCTATAAAATGGGAATGGTAATACCCACTTCAGACTAATACCCAGGAAAGTCCACCTAGTTCAGAAAGTGGGTTGTTGTGAAGATTCAATCACTGAGCTGGCACACCGCAGGGGATGCGTACATGTTGGGCCATCTATACCTACACGCGACTTCACCCCTCCTGATTGAAGGGCTCTAACTGTTCTTAAGTTAGCGCAGTCCTTAACGTGGAGTAGGCACCTAAGGACCAGTTGCTGAATTGTTCAGAGAGGGGGAGGGGAGGCAGAGGCCTGCCAGCCAGCACCTATAATTTAACCATTTGTGTGCCCTGAGGAGTAAAACCTCATTTCATTTAGAGATGTTTTTATTTCAAGGCAAAAAAAAGTTAAGAGAAGAAATGCATGGGGAAGACATTTTTTCTTAGTAACTGGCCTCAGAATGCTGAGGTTGGACGAACTGTTAACAGACAGGGAAAGTACTAGACTCATAAATAGCTTTAGAGAAGCACAAGCTTTGGCAGAAATTCCTGGGTTTGAATTCTAGTTCCCCCAGTCATTATGCTGTGTGATCTTGGATAAATCACTTCCCCTCTTTGAACCTCAGTTTCCTCATCTGTGACATGGAGAAGACAATCCCTACCTGGTTATCTAGGGCCTCCTTCCCCAAACACAAGCATCCGTGACTCGTGTGTGCCTTTCACTAGTCAGCAACTGAGTGTCAGGGGAGCCAGTGCCATCAGACAGGAGGCCCATGACAGGAAGGTTGCAGGCTGGCAGCCTGGGCCCAAGGGCTCTGCAGGTCTCTCCCAGTTTTCTTATTCAATTTGTGACAACATTAAATCTTAAGGGACTCCTAATAAAACCCTGGAGTTGCATAGAGCATTGGGTCCAAAAACACTGCTTCCCACTCCCACAACTGTGCACTCTCCAGTTTGCCACTCGCCCCCCCTGTGTGCTGACAGCTGGGGCTGCTTTGCTGACTCCCCACACCTGCTGGGCGCCTGGTGGCTTTCCTTGCATTGCCTTGTCTTTCCTTGATACCAACTGAGGTGTGAGATGATGGCAGGCTCTTACAGAGTCTTTCCTAAGTGCCAGACACTGCCCCAAGCACTTTCCCCATGTGAATCCTCATGCCCATCCTATGAAATAGATGCTATTATTAGCTTCCATTCCATGGTAAGGAAGCAGAGGCAAAGAGACACTACGTATATGACCCAGCTAGAAGTAGCAGTGCTCAGATTTAAATTCAGGCAGCCTGGCCCCAGAGTGTGTGGTATTAACCACTTGCACCACTTTGCCCCTGCCAGAGCTTTCTCCCATTTATTTTTCTCAAAATAGTGTTTGCTTTCCTAATAATAAAAGAGACACATGTTCATAAAAAAAACTAGAAAAATTTAAAAAGCAGGTGAAAAATGTCTCAGACTTTTAATTCCCATCCTTCTCCAGAAGTAACGTTTTGGGGTTGTCTCTGCATTTATTGCAGCACCATCCACAATTGCAAAGATGTGAATCAACCTCAATGCCCATCAACTCATAAGTGGACTAACAAAATATGGCATATGTTCACCATGGAATACTACTCAGCCATGAAGAAGGCTGACTTAATGCCTTTTGCAACAATTTGGATGGAACTGGAGACCATCTCCCTAAGTGAAATATCTAAGGAATAGAAAACAAACAGCACATGTACTCACTATTAAATTGAAACTAACCCATGAGCACACATGTTCGTAGTGGGAGGTAAAACTCAATAGAAATCAACCGGGGGGAGGAGGAAGAAGGAGACAAGCGAAAACCTACCTATCAGGTACAATGAACACTATCTGGGTGACGGGCACACTTATAACCATGACTCAAGCATTATGAAAATGATCATGTAACCAAAAATATTTATACCCTCATAATACTTTGAAATATAAAAAAAAATAACCAAAAATGTTTTATATAAAATGAGATAACATCATTCATGTATAAGAAAATCCTGCAGTGATAAGAGAATGATCCAGAAGTCACAGTCGACAGCCATTCAGCCTGGGTTCGGATCTCCTAGTATTCCTCTGCCTAACTGTCTGACCCTGGGCAAGAAACTGAATCTAAGCCTCAGTCTTCCCTTCTGTGAAATGGTACTGATAGCTCAACCTCATAGAGCTGGCCTAAAAATTCAATGAGATAATATATGAGAAATGCTTAGCATGGTTTCTGGCATCCAATGGATGCTTAATAAAAATTTAGCTATGGCCGGGCGCTGTGGCTCACGCCTGTAATCCTAGCTCTTGGGAGGCCGAGGCGGGCGGATTGCTCAAGGTCAGGAGTTCAAAACCAGCCTGAGCAAGAGCGAGACCCCGTCTCTACTATAAACAGAAAGAAATTAATTGGCCAACTGATATATATATAAAAAAAAAATTAGCCGGGCATGGTGGCACATGCCTGTAGTCCCAGCTACTCGGGAGGCTGAGGCAGAAGGATCGCTTGAGCCCAGGAGTTTGAGGTTGCTGTGAGCTAGGCTGACGCCACGGCACTCACTCTAGCCTGGACAACAAAAGTGAGACTCTGTCTCAAAAAAAAAAAAAAAAAAAAAAAAAAAAAATTTAGCTATGATTGATTGCGATTAGTCATGGCTGAGGTATGTTCCTTAGATTTGGTGAGCCACCAGGCCAGGGAAGAGAGAAACAGGGGGTCTGAGGGCTGAGGCACCCAGCATGAAGACAAAGGCGAGGCTGGGACCCGGGGCCAGCAGCAGTTCAGACAGTGAGGTGGGCGCCGGTGTGCACGGACGTGTGGGGCTGGGGGCGAAGGCTGCAGGAGCCGTTGGCTCCAACAGGCACAACAGAACCAGGCCCCAAGTCTGGCCGGAGCCAGGCAGGCCTGGTGGGGAGGAGGAGTCCCTCTGAGTGTGCTCGCCCGCCCTGTCCCCAACAGTCACCCGCACCGCACCGACACTGGCCCTGCAGTCTCTGCCCTCCAAGTAAATAGGTGTTGCTATTCTAAGAGAGGCCTGTGATAAAAATACTTGCTTTGCTTTGGAGGGCGTTTTCTTTTTTTTAAGCCATGAAAATAACAGGGCAGTAGGCTGCCTATTTTAGGTTGGGGCCTTTGGCCTGCTTTCAAAGTCACGGCCCAGATGAGATCTATTTAGAAACAGGTCACTGCACTTTGCCACACGGTGATGGTCCCTTAAGACGAGCCTGCATGGGTGCACCTAAGAGACTCTGGGGCCTGTACTTGAGTACTTGAGGGACAGAGCGGGAAGAAATCACAGGGCCAATGTTTACAAACCCAAGCTCAGTGTAAACGGAGCCCTGGCATCTCTCAGAGGCCTTTCTCGCCTCTGCTCCCCCACCAGGTTCTCAGGAGGTGGAGCTGCCAGCCTGCCTCCCTCCCCACCTTAGGAATCCTGCGTGAGGGTGGGACTGGGGTGTGGGGAATGCTCCCCGCCTGCTCTGTAAATCAGCCTATCATGTGCAGAGTTGGCAGGAGTTCCTGTTAGGACCCGCATCGGTAACTGGGCAGGATCTTTCCATCCTCAGCGAACGGAGGGTGCCTGTGGGGACTGAGAAAGACTCTCGAGGGGATGGCCTATGCTTCCAGAGCAGCTGGAGTGGAAAAGACCTGTGCAGACTTAAGGTTGAATCTTGACCCTGGCCCACACTAGCTGTGTGACCTCAGGCAGGTAACTTCACCTCTCGGATCTCTTGTTTTCTTGTTAGTAAAATGGAGATAATAAAACCAACCTTATAGGACTTGGAGGATTAAAGAAGATAATGTATTTAAAAGTACCTAGTACAGCCAGGCGCCGTGGCACAACCTAGTACATATAGGTTGGCTACCAAGTCTGAAAACACAGAGGAATTTTCAGAATAAATTATTTATTGATAACATATACTAAAATTCTGTATATTTCCAGACTTTAGGGCTACCTTGTGGTAATA